ACTCTTTGGCAAGACACTAATCACTTGGCTTTTTATATAAGTAATTTGTCTACCTTTAACTAATCATAATTAACCTACCACGCGAAGGATTGATGTAACGTACTTGCATTCATTCACATTCATCTAGATTTTGGTCCCGCATATTTCTTTATATACATAATTAAGTAAACATTAAATTAACTAAACAACAGTAGAGATGGTGATTACGAACTTGTACTCTTTCCATCTTTATATTTCATAACTTTTGCTTACGATTCTATTTTTTTGAAAAAATTAAATCTTTTTATAAAATAAAATAAAAAAAGTAAACAAAAAAATTGTAATAAAGATAATTAAGGGAGAAAATAGATACATGCATGAGAGCCTGAATTCTATGAAACTCAAACTCTAATAAGATCTGGTCTGCTGGTCAAAAGGTGTTGCAATGCTTTCTCAAAGTTAACAAAACCCATGAACCAGAAATGATGACTATCCACGGTAACTATTTGAACGTATTTCTCGTGTGGATTTTTATCTCCCATGGTCACTTGCTGAATCTTGTGTATTTTTCTCCACGGTACCACAACCTGTTTAACATCACTATACATCACCAATTACTTAATTTATATATATATATATATATATATATATATATATATACAGTAACTGAACTAATCTAACGTTGGTCCAAGAAAAACAACCTAGTTGACGAGGATGTTCTGTGTTACCTACCTTGTAATAACTCGATGTCTCCTGGCCTGATGAAGATGTAAACGAGAGAGGAAAATCACTACAGAAAGCCAGACGAGCAGTTGATACATAAAGTGTTCCAGCCACAGGTCCAGATGTTGTTGACAGATAACAAGCAAATCTCTTGATCAAATTTTCCCATGGGTCTGTCTCGAACATTTGCTTGAATAAAACCTCGAATCCACCCTCCGTTATCGCCTTTGCTTTCAGGTGAACCTTTCCCCATGCTGCTTCCAATACAGATGGCCCAGTTTTCACTGCCCAAATTTAATGGTTACTACGTCAATTTTTCTACAAAATATCGTGAATTCAAGTTGGTTATGTTTTTGTATATGTCCTTTTTAGAACTTATTTTTATTGGATTATGATTGTTATATATGTATTATCTAATTTATAAATGTATGTATTCTCTATTCAAAGAAAAAATTAAAAAAAAAAAGTGATCATATAGCGAAATAGTGAATTACAGTTGTTCCAGATGTTGCCGACGATTGTCTCAGCTTTCCTGCCCCAGCTACTGAACATATGAATCACAGGCTTTAACGGGTTATGGCTGCTTCGCTTTTCTAAGGGAGAGAAGACGATGTATGGCTGCTGGCCATAGATTTGGTGGTGGTCGGGGGAAGTCCACAAAGCCATCTGCCGGTTGTCTGGAAGATTGGTGGGAAGCTCTGGTGATTCAGTGGTGTGGGTGCTCCATTTCTTGGCTTGCCTATGGCTAGATGAAGATTGATGATCTTGTTCAGATTGATCATCATGTTCATGGGATTCTGCTTCCAATAACAAAGATTTTTTATGGGTTTCATGTGTTTTTGGAATACGATGATCAGTTGGCACCATGGATGTTCAATTAATTTGTTTTGCCAAGATGATTAAGTGGAAGGACAGTAAGAAAATATAGAAATTAAATTTATAAATTAAGAATATTCAAGAAATACAGAGGTTTCACATTCTTTGTTGACAATGATTTGATTAATCTGGTTGTTATTCAATGAATTTGAAAAGTAATCATAACTAGTTCATCGAGAAGGTCATTTCTTGATAATTTGTTAATTGAAAATAATTTGCAAAAGCAACTAAAAATTGAAAATAATATTTGTTTTGAAAAAATCCTTCTAACCTACCCTAATTACTTTTATTTTAATAATTAATAATTGCATGTATTATTATGAGTTAATATATTAATCATTTCTATTAATTTATACTTTATATAATTTGGACATCATCTCTCATAAATAAAAAATAATAATC